CTCGCGCCCCCCTCCTCGCCCGCCCCCAGGAGCAACAACCGCCGGTGCCAGGCTGACGGTCCCCCGACCGAACTCCGCGAAACTATCACCCCCCTCACACCGGAACTGAAAGAGAAAGCCTGTGAGGCGTTCTAGACGCCCTGTGGCTCCTCTCTATGGTACGGGGACGACTCGCCGGTGTCCTCACAAGTGCGCCGGGTTGCGCTTCATATGCGGGGCCTGTCTGCCGGCAGCTAAGTTTCCGTGCCCGTAGCTGAGCGGAGGGCCAAGGACGTGCGCTTTAAACAGGCACCATTGAAGTCCGTAACGATTTTGACATCCATGATGTTTCCATGTCGAACGTCGCTATGGTCACACGCCGGAAGATCCGGCTTTACAGGTTTCGACAATGCGCCGGAAGTCTGGATACACTATATTATTATTACTTTAGTCTCTATGGTTGCGGAGGATTTAGCGTCCAAGGTAGAGGAGACTAGCAATGTGCTACATAAAGAGCGGGAGCGCTGTCATTTTTGAATCCTAAAATGTTCTTGCATTCGCTTATAATTATTGCATGCTACGCTTTTGCTCCATTCTTTCTTCCTCCTCCTCTTCTTCTCCGACTTCTTCTTCTGCCTCCTCCTCCTCCTCTATTTCTTCTTCCTCCCTTTCCCCCTCCTCCTCCTCCTCTTCTTCCAGTGGTAAATTTCAGAATGAAAGTTAATTTTTGTGTTACAGATTTGAGTTTTTAAGACAACTTCTTGTATAAACGTTATTTTATAGAAATATATGGTTTTTCCTTATCCTACAAGAACTCATTGTTGGAAGGTTCATTTAGTGGATGGAGGCAATTACATTTCTGTAGAGTTGCAGCATGTGATAGCAATGGAAAAATGGAAGGAGAGCAAGGAAGCACGGAAGAGAGGAAGTTAGGTGGCAAAATCTTTCTCTTTTTAACACTCTTCACCATTTTTCGGACAAGACACATGGAGGCAGATGGATTATGTGCCATCAAGTGAGTGTTGACTGTGAACAACCACATAAATAGATTTTCACATGGAGGCAGGTCTAACCATTATTATAAATGGAAAATGGAAAAAAAATATTAAATTTTAATGATATGTCCAGCAGTCTTGACATGATTCCTTTCAAGGTTGTTTCATGTTGAAGGAACAAAATTGTCACACTCCAGATACCAATGACTAGTATGAATATCTCTGTGAATGTTGTTGCAAGGGGTATTAAGAACATACTATGGAAGTGAGGAAACATCTAGTTTTGTCTTCATGTGTGAAGATCATACATGTCTGTTTTACTGCAAGCTTGTATTGCAACAAGCCATAGAGTTCTGCTGGGCTTGAATGGCATATAAGCCCTATTAAATAAACAAACAAATCAACATAGATGGCAAAACCATCATACATGCACTTTGCAAGTTTCACATATTTTTATGCAGTTGCAGAGAGAGAGAAAAAAGCATTTTATATTTAATAACTAATAATTAATTATTCCCCCACCCACCTCCCACATGTATCTTTAGCCCAGGGGGTATAAGTCCCATGTAAACACACATGGGGTCACACTTGTGAAAAGGCTCCTTGTAATCCACGGTGTTCTACTAATGCTGCCTATTTTTTAACCTAGTTTTTCCATATGTATTCTAGACTTGAATATTAACATATTAATTATTTTATTGCATTTATTTTATTGGAAATCCATCATTCCCAAGAGGCAGCCTGTAAATAGAATAAATAAATAAAATAAAATGGAACGGAACAGGCTGATCCTACAGAAATAGCTAGGCTGCCAGAGAAAAACAGGAGCTGGCTTAGATGTGATGGAGTGAAACAAGCTGGTGCCCGGCCGCGTGGAAACAGGGCTGATTCCAGTTCTGGGAGGCCCGGGGGTGAAGGGGCAGGAGGCTTTGCTGGCTAAGAACACCTGTATTTAATAGGGTACTTGTGGATATATACTGTACGGATTTTATTGTAGACTTAATGAAGAAGGATTTCAGAAAGGATGGTTATAGTCTCCTGTATTCCACCCCTGCTGGCTGCTTCCCAGAAGTGGTTTGCAGGATACTTTAAAAAATACCTATTGATTAGCTCTGGAGGCTCAATATAATCACAACAGAGTAGGCGAAATGTTTTCCGAACATCTCCGCTCCAGCACCGGAGTATTACAGGTTATAGGGGAAAGAACAAAAGCAGCTGGTTTCTGTAGTGTAGTGGTTATCACGTTCGCCTCACACGCGAAAGGTCCCCGGTTCGAAACCGGGCAGAAACAACTCAGTATTTTGCTTTCCTTCACCATCCTCAAAAACAATTATTCAGAGGTCTGTATCTTAACGTAAACCCTTTTCCCATAATATATACAATGATTAAGGGCCGTTCAAATCGAAGTGATCAGTCTTTTGCGGATTTTAGGGTATGCTCTGTCCTGAATTTCGGAGCAATTTTCTAAAGTAGGGTAAAGTAGACAGTAGTACAGCACAGGTGTTACCTAGCCGGGTAACGAAACGTTTGCAAGAAAAGAACCAAGCTCAGAGAACCCCAAGGACCCTAAAGAGAGAAAGATAAATAGATTTGATAGTTTTCATGTTAAGTAATATTTTGGAAACCTCTTTGTGCAGCAGCCCGGCTAGCTCAGTCGGTAGAGCATGAGACTCTTAATCTCAGGGTCGTGGGTTCGAGCCCCACGTTGGGCGCTGGTCGTTACCTTTTGCTCTTCATCACACTTTTTAAATACAACAAACGAGTACCGTTTTTTTTCCGGAGCGTTAGCCACTTTGACCTTTTGCAGCCCGAACAACAACGCCGGGAATAGAGGAGACGAGGAGATCATTACAGAAGTGTTTTCTTCTACCATATTTTGGGGTTTTTCACTTTTCCATACTGCCCTGAGCACACCTAACTGTACTTTGATTGGGTACTTTCTTGCTTCACCGTTTTTCAACAGCGTTTTAATCCTCGTGCAAGACCCAGCGCCGGAATATACCCCCCCAATGCCTCTAAACGCGTGCACGCGGCACAACAAATCTTGCGACATAAGACGACCTTCCCGCTTTTCAGCCGGCAATGCGCACCGAACTTATTACAGACTCTGAACTTAACGGCTTGCATCAAGTTGACGGAGGGGGCTCTAGATTCATCTGCCTTAAAACTGCGTCCTCGGGGGCCGCATTGCAGAAAGAGGGGCCCGGGGCTCTGTCCCCAAGTCCCTCGCTTCGCCTCCACCGCCGCCCTCCCCAAACGGGATCCCCCTCGCTCTCAGGAACGCGCGGAAGCCCGCAAAGCGCAACACGCTCGCTTAGGAAGCGGCCCGCGCAGAGCTACTCTCTGAGCTTGGCCGCTTTCTTGCAAACGTCTCGTCACCCGGCTAGGTAGGAGCACTGAAGATGTCACCTAGCTGGGCAATGAAACGTTTGCAAGAAAACAGCCGAGCGCAGAGAACCCCAAGGACTCCACAGCCCAACCCTGAGCCATACAGATTCTCTTCTATTAGAACTACACTTCCCAGAGTGCCTCTCCGCGGCATCCCGCTATTCGCCCTCCAAACTACATTTCCCACCATGCTCCGCGGGGCAGCACAAAAGGCCGCAAGAATTCGGACGGAAAGTGGCTCTGAGATGGGCATCGGTTCTGCGGCGCTGCGCCCGCGGCCCCCTCGGGACTGAAAGTCCGCTAAGGCGGCGCGCCTCGCTCGGGCATGGAGCCCGGTGAGTTCCCGGGGTGGGGCTGGAGGGAGGCAGGGACCCGGGCAACTTCGCGGGCGCCTCCCGAGGAAAGGAGCTGACCGTGGAGCATTGCGCTGGCCGTTGCCTTGATTGGGGTGGCTTCTAGGCAGGGGGGCGACTGCGTGGAGGAACGCAGAGGAAATGCAAAACCTGCGGGAAGAGTGCGAGACCCTCCCGGGGGAGCCTCTCCTTTGTGACATGTTTGCTCACTTTTCCATGTCAGGCTCCAGAATCAGGGGTGGGTTTCTTTCCCCTCGCAAGATGCAGGCGCCCTTCTCGTGAATTTGGGTCCGCTGCCATTCCCAGATGGCGATTTTTAATCTGGATGAAATCATCCTTTGTTTTATTTATTAAATTTATAGAGCCGCCCGACTCACGTATGTGATTCTGGGGGGTGCCCAATAAAACAATCAAATAAACAGTATCAAACAATATAATCCAACAATTAAAAATTTTAAAACAGTTAAAACACAGATATAAATAAGACCGCGGGAGAATGGACCAACAGCCTACACACAGGGTAGCCACCTTGTGGACTCCCTACATCCCTGGGACCCCCAAGCCAACCGTTGAAGGAACCAGGTTTTAAGAGATTTCCTAAATGTCAACAGGGTCACATCTATAGCTGTGCTTCCTACGAGTCAAAAGTCACTCACTCACACGTTTTATCCTTTTAGTTTTGAAAGTTCCTTGATTACAGCAGAAGTGTTGGAGAGGCAATTAATCTTAATTCCCTCAGGCCTGGGGACTGGAGGTTGGGTGAGCCCATCATTGTGGATTGTTATGACTATGGCCTTATGGATTGTATTAGATTGTTCCTGGGTGCCTTTGTTATGTTTCTTTTGGTGTTTAAGATTTCAGTAAATATCAGAGCATCTCCACTAGGAAGAAGCCTTGAGCACAGGAAGAGATTTAAGTTCCTTTTTTTTTTTTAACACCTTCTCCCCATCTGTTCTTCTGTGGTCAAAATCCCAGATTCCTTTTGGCCTCACAGTGAAGAATAAAAATGGCTGATCGGCAGCGTCTCTTTCTTTTAGCAGGTGAAGACTGGATCAAGAGAGAAGGTGATGAAGGAACTCCCCAGCCAAGGGATCCCCTGCTGGTCGATGTGGAACAGCCGACAGAAAATTTATCTGAGGAAGGTGAAGATTTCCTGGAGTCTAAGCCATTGAAAACTCTGAAGAGGGATTTGGACGTTCATCAGAATCCATTCACAGAGGAGATTTGTTTTGACTATGAGAACAGCCCTCAGAAAATCTACCCAAATGACCGGCCGTTTAAGTGTGATGTGTGTGAGAAAAGCTTCCGCCACAGTTCTAGCCTGTTAACCCATCGAAGGCTGCATACTGGGGAGAAACCATATAAGTGCACCGACTGCGGGAAGAGCTTCAACACCAGCTCAGCACTGATCGTGCACCGCCGGACCCACACCGGAGAGAAATCCTATGTCTGTTCAGACTGCGGGAGGTGTTTCAGTGAAGGTTCGGTGCTCATCAAGCACTGGCGGATCCACACCGGGGAGAAGCCATACAAATGCGCCATTTGTGGAAGGGGCTTCCGGCAAAGCTCCCAGCTCCGGGCCCACGAGCGGACCCACACGGGGGAAAAACCCTACGAATGCCAGGACTGTGGGAAATGCTTCAGCACCAGTTCTAATCTCTCTGCCCATCAGCGGACCCACACAGGAGAAAAACCATACATCTGCACTGAGTGCGATCGACGGTTTGGTCACAAATCACATCTCATCTCCCACCAGAAGACGCACACAGAGAAGCTGCATGCTTGCTCTGACTGCCCAGCGACCTTCCGCATGCTCCATCAGCTCCTGGTCCATCGCAAGTCCCATCAGGAAGAGAGGCGCTACAAATGCCTCCTCTGTGGAAAGACTTTCAGCTACAGTTCAGCCCTCTTGGCGCACCAGAGAATGCACACGGGGGACCGGCCGTTCAACTGTCTGGAGTGCGGAAGGAGTTTTGTCCGGAATTCAGACCTGAACAAACACCAGCGGATCCACACGGGGGAGAAGCCCTACGAGTGTCCGGAGTGTGGGAAGCGATTTAACCAAAGCTCCCACCTGGTTAGCCATCGGAGAGTCCACATGAAAAGCGCTGCAAAGAATCCTGGGACAGATGTCAGTGCTCCAAGGGGACGAGAAATAGAGTCTTCTTGAAGAGCTCTCTTGGAACATTTCTTTGCTGAACGTTTAAATTATTAAGGCTGCAGTCTCCTTACATGAGAGTAAATCTCATCCCATCCAGTGGGACTTCATTTGTTACTCACAGGTAATAAACCAGTAAGACTGTGGTGGGTGTGTTTTACTCTCCATAGGAAAACAAAAGAAAATTCTGCTCCAAGAGATTTCAAATGATTCACTAAATGACAATAAGTTATATGGCCAGGATACCTTATGTAACAAGATATACGTTGGTTGATGTAACTGTTTCTGTAGAAAAGAGCAAACACACCTGCAAGACCGGGATACTATTTTCTGGCCGTTGAGAAATCTTGTTTAGCCCTTCTCTGGCTTCTGTTGTCTTACGAAGCATGTTTTTAAGCTTATCATTGCAATGATGAGGGTTTATAAATTTGTGATGTTGCTGTTTAATGAAAAGTTATATTCTTGACCCGCTACAATATGTGGCTAGAACCCTCTGTCTTATGAGAATGCAGAATGCCGATACTGTTTAAGACAACTGAGGCAGAATAGTGTTTCCTAATTGGGTTTTTTTTTTCAAGTTTTTTTTTCTATTTTTTTTAAATATGAAGGATCTCGCTGGTAAGACCCACCGGTAAAGCTAAAGTTTAAAGACAGTAGACTTTCCTTGAGGTGGGGAAGAAGAGCTTTAATCATTTTCTGGCTACCAAAGGTATGGAGAAACAACTTGAACTGACATTGCCTATTTTCTATAGATCTCATGTGAATGTACTATCAGCTATCTACTTTCAAAAGAAATAGAACTCCAGCTGGCTTTTAATAACCACATTCCATTAACCCCCTTCCCCTTGTCTTAATAAAACTTTAAAGTTGAAGAATAGTCTTAACAAAGGAGCTGTATTTTTAAAATAAATATGTGAAAGTTTTTGTTATTCCTTTATCAAATATAATGACTGGGTTCATTACTGCTTACTTCCATGCGATCCAGCACTTGAATTATTACAGAACTTGATCCCTTATGAATACTTCCCGTAGAACAGGGCTATGGAGTCCCCATCATCTTGAAGGCTGTACTAGACTCTGGGTGGCTTACGTAGAGCTGCACTTAAAAATGGTGGAGTCTGAACTCAGAGTGGGAACAGGCTCAGGAGTTTTCAGGGATGACATGTAGGTACCTCAAGGACCTCCATGGCTTAAGCCATCCATTTTGCTTCTTAAAACTTGTAACCCCACCCACCTCCATGTGAAAATACAGGCCAAATGGGTTTAGAATTGCAGTCTTATTGCAGGATCCTTTTTTACTCAGAAGTTCTTGGGATTTATTCTTAAGTCCCGGTTGACTTGAATCACTTTCATTTACTAGGATTCCATAATTATTTTTGGTCGGTGACAACTGAGAACTCTGTGTTTTGTTCCTTAATCTTGACTTCATTTTGCCAGCAAAATTTTTCTCTATATATACTGTATGGGCCACTTACACTTCCGTGTCTGCTTCATGTTTTTGACAAAGCAGATCTCTGAAACAATGAGTATATGCTGCAATAAATATGTTAGTCTTTAAGCTGCAACAGATGTTTATGCCCACTTAAGTGTGCACTGGATCACAGTCTCGGTTAAATGTTTTTCTTCTTGACAATAGTCAGACTGGAGAGCCTTTATGATGCAATAAGATTACAGCCACACATGCAAGGAAAATGTTGGTTTTGAATAAATATGCTTATGATTCTACTTCATGAATCAAATTATTATTTGTTGCAAAATCCAAACCTTACTGTATTGCACTGAATTTTGCACCTAGAAGATCAGCCTCTCTTCCCCGTTGCTTGCTGTATGGAGTTAGTGATGATGCCTCTGAATTTTTATTGGCCTTATAGGAGACCCTCTTTAGAGTGAGATGTTCTAATATATTTCTTCCCTTCCTCCTCCTCCACCTTCCATTCCATGTTTTTGGATCAAAGCAATACCCAAATAATTAGCTATTCAAATAATAGTACAGCCATAATTACAGAAAAAGTGTTATTTGGAAATAGACAGAAGGGTAATGCATGTTTCTGTAAAAATAATAAATTGAAGTTCACATTCCCCAGAGGCTTACTAGACAGCTGTTGTTTGTTGAATGGTCTTTTGGAGTCTCAAAGTACAACACTTAAGGTCCATACTACACTGCATTATGGTGTTTCAGAAGTACTTACTAAGTATTGTCTGATCAGTATAATGCTTGTCACATTTTGTGAGCTGGAGGTGTTTCTCTCCTCCTCTTTATGGCATTGATTTTTGAGTCTGAATGTTAGGATGCTCTTCGTCTTTGACTTGGTTCACACAACTTACTTAAGTGAATGGTGGAGCAGCACAGTGTTCCTCAACGTCAGCAGCTTTAAGATGTATGGACTTAAATCCAAATTGGGGGGGGGGGGATAAAGTATTGTGATAGTTGTGTGATCCACTCTGTGTGTGTGCGCACGCGCGCACGTGCATGTGGGTGAATGCAATCCTGGTGTACCCAGACTAGCCATTGTCAGTCCTCTCAGCCACACCCACTCCCAGGCGAGGAGAAACCCATTAGCTCTGCAGAAAGTGGAAGGCAAGGAGAAGTAGGCTTGGCTTAGGTCTTGATGGGCAGAGAATGAGTTATATTGTGTAAGAGTGAATTTCTGTGTTGGTCAGGAAATTGGGAAGTAGGTAAAGGCTGAGAAAATATTTATTTATTTATTAAATTTGTATGCTACCCATCTCCCCCAGAGGGTGACTCCTTAAAATAACTCCTTAAATAGTTTAAGATGTTCCAAGGTAGTTTTAACTTAAGGTAATATTAAATATGGGTTCAGATGGCTCAGAAGTAATTGGTGGAGCTTCTCTGGATGTTGCAGTTAAGGCCTTCGGATGCCAATCCCTGGTGGGAATGCTGGTAAAGCACTTAATTGTGTCTTGGATCATGAATAATAATTACTTACAAGGCATTATAGAAGATGAAATGGAATGAGGTTCCCCCTGAGATCTGGCTGGCTCTCACCCTGGTGGAGTTTCAGAAGACCTTAAAGACCCAGCTGTTTTCCCAGGCTTTGGGCTAGGATGAAGGAAGCCCCTGATGGGAGGTATTTTGTAGGGTTTGTCGCTATTGTTTTGAGTGGCTGGATTTCCATCTTATTTTATCTTGTACTATTTTGTTTTATTGTGAGCCACCCAGAGAAGTTTGGAAGTCGGGCGGCACCTACATTGAATAATAACTATTTTCAGTATGCTTTAAATCTGTGAAATAAATGTGTTTTCAGTATGAATGTACTGCATTGGGCTGTCAGCATATATTGTATAAGGCTGCAGTCGTCTACCCATTTATCTGACAGCTTCATTTCAGGGAATGGGAATTATTTCTCACTCCACATCAGCCTTCAGTATTGGTTGGTTAGGGGTGGTAGGAGTTCAAATCAAGCAGGATCTCATGGGCGATACATTGTGTAGTCCTATCAGTCAAGGAAAGGCAGTGAATCGTAAGCCAGCACATGGTTTCTCAGGATTGAAGGGCATGATCTAGGCCAGAAGCAGAATTCACATGTGCCTTAAAATAGAGGAAAAATGCAGTCCATGAGCAACACATCATAAAAATCAATAATGTACACCAGGTTACATGTATATGAGTAAGTGCAAATCATAAAATTAACACAATGTATCAATCAACAGTGTTTTGCCGATGACGTAACAAAATTTAGCTATACTCAGAGTGATAGATTCACTTGGATTTGAAAGTACAAATTGTAAAAACCAGTCAGGGGGCTTGAAACATGCAATGAATTTATGTAGTGCAAAATGAAGCACAGTTGCTGCTTTGAAACAATTTAGAATTATTCACAGTAGTGGCATGGGTTTTCGTTTCAAAGTAGATGTGTCTGTGCAAGATTAGTTACAAAAAATGTCAAAACCTTGCTACCAGAAAAGCCCAAAGGTACTGAAATTAGTTACGTGCCCATACAAATCAATATAAGCATTGTGCAATGGAGCAGCCTTACAGAAACGAAGTACGCTTGATTGCCTTTGCTTGCATGATTCATTTTTAAATCTTTAAAACATTATTTCTAACTTAGTGTGAAAAGGAGGAGATAATTTCCTATGAACAGGCGGAAAAAGAAAGCAAATTCTGCTATCAGTTGAGGTGCAACTTGCTTCACACAGAAAACTCTGCATCGGGATTAATATAGGGAGCCCCAAGAGCAGTAGAAAATGAATGGAGGGGGAGGGTGAAGGAGTTTCAAGATTTGAAGCTCTCCTGCCTCCATGGAAGGAGAGAGAGATGGAGATGTAATCTACTTGCAGCGTCCCAGAAGGCTGTGTGTTGAAGGCTTTGACTTCAGATTTTGCCAAAAAGGCAGGTAGCCATCGGTGAGGCTTTCTCTCACAATTTTTCCCAAGCACTTTTCCATCAGCCACGAAGACTAGAAGCATACGCTTTGTGTTTCTGAATATTCTACTTGGCCGCCCCTCCAGCACATTTATTTTATTTTGCACTCTGTTACAGCTGTGTTATGGCAGGACAACTGTACCATGAGATAAGTATGTCCAACTATGTAAACATTTGCAAATTGCTGTTTTCCCCCCATCATAGCTTTCGGCTAGTCAAAAGCCAGTTTGTACAACTGCAACTCCTTCCATTAAAATATATCCTTGACTGGTGCTCTCAGTGAAGCACTTAATGCTTCACTAAAAATTCAAAACAAAAAAGGAGACGTTCCTTTGCAGACACAGAGTTAACAAAAGTAGTTCCAAGCAACTGTCGGGCTGCTGCTTTAGGTCCCAGATTAAACAACGCTTCTCAGATTGCTGAAATTCAAAATGCCAGGAATAACCTCAGGGGCATAAGGTGAGCTGAGATCTAGACCCCACCCAGAACCAAGGGTGAATCCTCTCTTGCTTGAAGGAGATAGGCGGAAAAGTGAAAATGGGAGCGTCCAGCTCTGCATCGAGAAACGCCACCCACCCTCCCTCGTAGTCTAGGCAGACTTTGATCCTCTTGGGCCTCCGGAGCAGAAACAAGGAGGTCCAACGAGAGGTCAGGGCTTGCAATTGGCCCCAGCACTGCTGTACTGCCCAGATGCCTTGCTCTGGGCTGAGGCTGAGGAACCCCTTCCTCTTCACAGACGCCTGGGCAATGCCAATGGCCCAGTTCTGCCCCTGCTCGACGTCCACCACCCAAGAATGCTTCCCACAGCAGAAGCTCTCGCAGGCCAACACGAAGAGCTCAGAATCAAATCTCTCAGGATCATCTGGCAAGGACTGCGCGTGATCCAGGTGCATCACGGTCTTCCGATCGGGGGAGAGGAGAAGATGGGGGTTGGCTGTATGTGGATCCAAGGTCACCCTGACTGGGGAGACTGAAAGAAAGAGAGAGAGGGTGAGTTGTGTGGCCTTCTCAGCTCCAACCTGCCTTCTCAATGATCCAATTAAAGCAAATGGCTGCTCATGCTGGGAAAGCGATGCAAACGCTCACAAGCGACAATGAGTGTTCATTGGCCCTGGAGCTTAGCCCAGGGATGGCAAACCTTTTGGGCTCGGCATGTCAAAAATTCAGAACATGCCTAACTTGACTCTGCTGGCGTGTCCCCCCCCCCAAGCAAAAGAGAAACCATTCTTTACCTATTATTTATTTTTAAAAGATATAGTCCAATCATGTATGGTGCTATCTATTATATAAAGAAACATCAAATAATTACAAAAATGAAGTATGAGTAAAACATACTCAATTTCTTTGGTAACTCAAACAGGGAGAATTGTTGTCAGGTGTTGGTGAACGCTGGCATCATGGCGTGTCACCTTTGATATGCGTGTCATAGGTTCGCCATTGCTGGCTTAGCCTCAGCATCCACTATAGAACCTCAACATGCAGTTGTTATTTTGGAGATCACCTACGAGTATCCACATCTCCTAAGCATTCTCTTAATCGTCTTTTAAGGAACCTACAGTTCCACCACCTTATGCCTGTGAAAGATCAGCCATACTATTTCTTACCCTTTAAAGTAGAAAATGCATGAAAACTGCCCCTGCAGCTTCATAGGGTTAAACGTAACACGGAAATAAACTGAGCCCCAAAGTCATTACCTTCATCCTTCTACTCCTTCTCAACAGGCTTAAACCTTCTCTAGAAAATCTGACTCAGAGCATGATACATGCAAACTCACTTCTAGCTTCTCCCCAAGGTATATTAAGTGGGGCCTCGAGCTACCAGAGACTGTCAAGTTCCTGATCTGGCAGTTCCCAACGAGGCCTGCCTTGTGGCCATGCACAGTGTGCGCCCATTTACCTGTTACGTAAAGAAATGTATTTAGCTCTGCAAGGCACTCTGGAAGCAGTGCCTTCTAGCTGATGCTCAAAACACACCTGGCCTGCAACGCTGCCTATCTGCAAGAAGCTCATCCGAGCAGCCACTGCATGGTTCACAAGTAGGGTCTCGCTGCGTGGGGCTGTGTGATAGGAAAGCAACATCCCAAGAAGCACCTCTTCAACACGAATGTTCTCCAGGACGTAGGAGCAGCAAACGTTTCACCCCACCCAAACTGCAAGCCCCAAGGGAGGCCAGAGTGAAAAACAAACCAAGCAAAGCCAGCCTCACCTTTCTTGTCTGCTCTCAGGGCATCATTGTGCGATACTGGCCAGAAAGCCTGGGGCTGATCAGCCTGGTTCGTGAGGACATTTACCCTCTGAGTTTTGTCTTTCTGAAATTCATCCATCAGTGATTCTAGACAAGAGAGAAGGGCAAAGATTTGGGCCTTCTATCAAGAACACATTGGAGAATTTGCAGATTTTTTTTATGTACACAAGTCTGTCTATCCATCCATCCCACATGCCCAGTGGGAAGAACTTGAAAATTTATCCTGCAGGGGCCTAGAACCTATGAAAGAAAGAAAAATCTGAAAATTAGAAAGATTCGGAACGTTTCTGCTTAAGGGATTCCTGCAGGTCTTCAGAAGGCAGGGTTAGCTGCTTCGGGAACCGAGTGAGGAATCAAATGCAGCAACTGGAGCAGAACTCAGGGCAGGTCTGCTTTCCTGTTTAGAGGTGACACAATCCTAAACATGATGCTCCAGACCTGAAGTGGGATACCTGTGGCTCTCAGCATTCCCTATGACTGGTCATGCTGGCTAATGCTGCTGGGAACTGTAGTTCAGCAACATCTGGGCAGTTTTAACTTCTCTGTCACTACTCCAGAAAAAGAAAATGGAGGTTTCTTTGCACAACTTCTTGCCCCGTGCTCAGAGACAAGGGAGGGTCTCATGGAAGACCACTAGTAAGAAGTGTACAATCTCATTTCCTGAAGTGTATGTAACAGGACCCCCTAGATCATTCTCAAGGAGATGTCTGCCTTGGACCCACTCCTCTTTTAGAATTTCTCTTTTTCTCATGTCTGATGTTCCAGTCATCTTTTTCAAGGGACTGGTTCTCAGGATGAGCAAAATATTTTGCTCTGATATGTTTTGAGTTCAAAACATTTTCTTGTAGGCTCAAAACACTACCGAAATGCTTAAACCTGCATTTTCACAGTCAAAGCAGCAGATCCATACATAAAATGAACCTTTTGCAAAATGCTTTAGGTCATGGTAAATCAGTATCAGGAGCTGCCATTTAAATTTCCCACAATACCCTCAACATTACCATAATGCTTCAGGACAATGTGGGATGAACATCGTTTCAATTTAAATACTTCTGCTATCACCCATAACTTATTTCAGTATTCATGAAAGTAGAAATTCTCATCAGATCTAGAGCAAGTCCTGAGAATTTATCTATTCCTCCCTTCCTCCCTCTCTTCTTTTTTCCCCATTTAGTGGAGATCATTTCACAGGAACAGAGTTTACCTACAATTACAGAAATGTGTGTTTGTTGTGTAGTTTCCATACCTTTAAATTTCTTGAAGTTTTCCATTAATAGACCACTTTGCCGAGAGATGGCACTGAGATTTTTTTCCAGGTTAACAGGTTTCTCTTGGAAGCAAAGGAACTCGCCCTTTTCACACCTAGGAGATCAGAGAAATCCCAAACTATTTTGGCTTTGTGGCTTCCCCTGATGTATGAGCTGCCTCCAAGCATCTGATCAGAGAAAAATGAGAAGGACAGCCAAACTGTGTCCAAATTAATTTCTGGCTGGCCTCTTTAAAGAAAGAATAGGGTCTTCGTCTCTGCTGGACAGAGCTCACAGGAGAGCAGAAAGGAAAATTCTTTTATATTTTCCTGTAACCACTCAATGTCATTATTAGCCTTGAAGAATTAAAAATCACATACCTGCTTAAAGTTTCCTTGAGATCCTAGACAAACCAGAGATATTTGAGTTACTTTGTGAAGAGGAAAAAAATATTAGACAATAATTTTTTGTTCGGGAGGATTTTACAGTTTTCTTTTTTTTAAAAAAAGAAAAATAACGTATAACTTTTTGAGATCTAAGGGAGATAGCCTGAAGCGGGAAGAAGACCCTAAAAGCAGGCTTCCTCCCGAAACTCTTAGAAACACTCCACTGAGCAGAGAGAGGCCTGGTTCGAAGCTTCAACCCCCCCTCCCCCCACCGCCCCAGGTTTGCTCCCTAAAGAAAGAATTTCTATCAGGGGGGTTCTGGGAAAACTCAGTGTCACAAGATTCTTGCTGAATGTGCAGTGCAGACTGCCGTCTTTGCTGCAGAGATGCTGAGGGTCAGCGAGAAACAGTCACAACACTTTATGTTAAAAACATAACTCTAGAATGTCCACCTGCAAAAACTCGCCCGCAGGCCTCTGACAGTGCTTCTCTAGATCCTGGATCAGCTCACTGAGAAAAGAAATGTTGGACGAAAGTCTGGTGCTAGTTTCGTCCTCTTCCTTCTCCAGTTCACTCAACTGAGCCAAGAGGCAACTTTCCTGCTCTTCTAGAAATGAGCGGAGCTGCTGGAAGGCCTGCACAATCTTTGTTCTTTCTGCTTTGATGTCTTCCTGCAGACAACAGAGAAACAGATAAGGAAATAAAAAAGTCAATGAGACTATGGTTGTTTCTGTAAAATTAACCATATATTTTAGACCCAGCATATTGTTTAATACCAGGGAGTAATGCCAGTATAGCACAGTATTACTATCATTAAATAATACCCAGTTGTAGGTATATTGCTAATGCTTGTCATTATGTACCAAATACTCACTGAATGCATGAATGGATATATTGTACTTGAAAGATGGGAATATATGAAACCCACCCAAATAGGTCATAGAGTCTGAAGGGTTTGTTCTGGAAGAGTTCACTTTGCATTACACAGTGGTTTTGTGATGGAATGGAATTATGAAGGCCAAGCTCCGGGAGATAAACATTTTGATTGATGTCAGGCCTAGCCCAAGGAACTCCAAGAGACAATGCCA